GACATAAAGTAGGTATTGAGCCAGAGTCAAGATTGAGATCTCGATGGGAGTTCAAGAGTTTATCGAAAGTCCGAACGTTCATCGGAAGTTCTACCAGAACCAACCAAGAAGTCTAGGAGCTTACCAAAGAAGCTCATCGGAACTCGCCAAGAAGATTGTCGTAAAGTCTGGGAGCTTGCCGGGAGTGCGTTGGAACATTATCGAGAGTTTCGTCAGAAGATCACCGGAAGCTCGTCGGAAGAGCAATTGACGTACCGGAACAAGAGTGCTTTGATTATGTCTTAGTTATTGTAGTTAGATAGTAGATTAAGTTAGAATTGAGAGGTAATCCCACTAACTTAATTAGGGGCCAATTGGCCCTTAACAGGGATGAATTGGGCCGGATTGAACAGCTCATTCAGCCCTTGAAATCATGATCGACGATGGCACTACCTAGGAGAACCAGTCTCCTAGATGGTCTAGACGGTGGTACCACTGGCAATTAATGCTGGCAGCGGTGGTACCGCCCAGACTAGGCAATGGTATCGTTGGTAGTTAATGCTGCCAACGGTGGTAGCGCCCTTGTTAGACGGTGGTACCATCAGAGCTCGGTCTCCGAGCTCTACCAGGCGGTGGTACCGCCCAATCTGGGCGGTGGTACCACCCAGTGTCAAGTGTCAGGTGGTAGTACCGCCCAGTAATGACGGTGGTACCGCCAGTACCCCGAAATCCAAGGATATGACACTTTTTTCCTTTAATTTTGAAGCCAATGAGGCCTATAAATACCCCACCCTTTTATGCATAAAAGGACACGAAAGTATTAAATCATTCTTAAATTGTTGGGGTGTTACGTATTGTAAAACTGAGAAAGAGTCCTCTCCTCCCTTGTAAACATCCAAGAAAGAAGAGTGAGACTTGTAAGGGTTGTCTCCTAAACCTGGCAAAAGGGAAAAGAGTTGTAAAAGGTGGTTGGTCTTTGCCTATTGAAGGAAGGCCTTTAGTGGACGCCGGTGACCTCAACGGAGGAGGAATCCGAAGTGGATGTAGGTCTTATTGACCGAACCACTCTAAATTCTGGTTTGCTTTTTCTTTTATATAATTTACTTTACTGCAAACATCCTTGAACTTCATATTATATTATATACTTTAGTGCAACATCTTTCTGAAACGATTTGAATCGAGACGAATTTTATACGAAATCGAAGAATTTTTCGCTGCACTAATTCACTCACCCTCCCCCCTTTTAGTATCGCTCTTATCCTAACATATATATGTATGTATATATATATGTATATGTATATGTATATATATATATATTTATACATATACATATATGTATATGTATATATATATATACATATACATATATATATATATATGTATATGTATACATATACATATATATGTATACATATACATATACATATACATATATATGTATTGTATACATATATATATGTATATGTATATGTATACATATATATG